TTTTTTTTTTTTTTTTTATCCTGTCAATTTATATCTAATAAATGTTTTTCCCTTTGGCTGAGAACAGCTAGAACTGAGGAGGAAACAGCAGCAATTTTCACCACCTTTGCTAGGGGATGTGGAGTTGCAGGCCCTTCTGGTCACCTCTGGGGGTGCTGGTGGAAGCGGTGCCAGGGTGTGTGTCCTGCTACTGCGGGGTTTTGCATAAAAAGCAAAGAAATGTTATCCTTGGTCTCTGTAAGCTGTTGTGTTTTCCCCACTTAGCATGGTGCAATGAGGCAGAGCAGGGGTAGGGCTTGCCTGTCATGTAGTCTGACATGGTATCCTTCTCTTAGTCATGAGCTTAGGCCACTGGAGTGTAATAGATTTTTCTCTTTCTCTTGGTTACTCTAGCTGACTAATGTCAGGACCCTGAGGACTTTCTTTTGCATGAGGTGGGAGTTCAAAGCATGACAGAATTTGGGTGTAGATATTGGCAGGAAACAGCTTTCTGGTGCATGGCACTCATTGCACTAGTATTGGTTCTACTTGCTCTGCTGTATTCTCCCTGAGCGTTGATTAACTATTTTGGACTATGCTAGGGGGCCCCTGGAACTAGGGGCTAGCTACAGCAATGATGTGATTTCTCTTTTAAAAAAAAAAAAAAAAAAAAAAAAAAAGCTGAGATAGAATCCCTTGAAAGCACTTTTCCCTTAACAGAGAGGAGGCTCTACCTATTTTTTGCTCTTATAGTAGCATGTCCTTTACCTGGAGGTTGCAAGCAGCTGTATCAGCTGGCCTTTGATACAGGTCCAGCTCTTCTGCAGCAAGGCCTACAAGGGTCTGGCTAACAAGCTCCCAAAGTAGGGAACAGCCTACTTTACAGGCTGTAGAGAGGATCACCCCAGTACACAGCACTGCTGCAGCAGAGCAAATCTGTGCTGAGGAGAGACTGGCTGTTGTGCTGAATAAGGAAGCCTTCACTTCCATAGCAGAGCTCAGCTTATCAGGAGCTACCCCCACCTCCCCCACATGAGATGACTTCTTCAGGCTCAGGCCATATTCAAAACAGCAGTTGCTAGCTGCTGGCATGTGAACTTGGCTCTGTGGAGGGGATTCCTGCCAGGTTGTAATAGTTCTGGGTGTGGCTAAAAACTTCGGGCTTGCAGGCAGTTTCATCAGCTGTGTGGCTCTCCATGGGCAAGTCCTAGAGGGGGAAGGGAAGAGTCTACTGTTGAGTACAGACAGCCAGCACTAGCAAGAACAGCATTTGCATGATTATTTCTGTCCCGGTACCATACTGATTACTGGCTCTCTCAGCCATGGCCTGTTTCTTGTCAGGGAACAGCTGCTTTCCCTCAGTCAGCTGCAGCTTTCATACCTTCCCTCTAGGTTTAGGGTACAGAGCTTTCTGTCCCATAACTATCTACACTGACCTGTGGAAGGGGCTCACCATCATTGTACATCTTGAGTTTAGAAACAGGGATTTCTCAGCTGTCCTGTGAGTAGCAATTACAACCCTATTGATAAGATTGCATCACTTTCTTGTGACAGCAGCAGGTTGCTGCAGGACAGCCAGGAAACAAAACTGACTGTGTGGCACCAGCCAAGCTGGCTGACATGCAAAAAAAAAAAAAAAAAAAAAGTAAACAGGATGGGTAAGGAAAAAGGCAATGCAACCTTTCAACCCAACAGCTGGGTTCAACTGTGCTCTCCAGGCAAGGGAAGTGGTAACAAGTCCCTTAAAATGCAGGACAAGCTGGTTTCCAGCCTTGTTGGAGGCTGAGGGAAAGACTCCTCCTTCCACCAATGCTGGAACTATTTCAGAACAAAACTACCAGTTAAGCTGAGGCTATGGGGAGTGACCCTTTAATTAGGGCCTGAGGTAACACATGCGTGGCCACTCAGCACTGTGGGTACAGTAAGATCAGCCTGTTGCAGCAGGAACTGCTGAGCTCAGGGTGATGTAGCTGAGTCATCTTAACCACGGGTGGCTAAGGCCTGATAAACAGGCAGCGCAAGCTTGTAAACAGCAGCGTACGTGCATTCTTTCCACAGCCCCAGACTGTATTTATAAGGCCGAGCACAGGAAGGGGGTGGAGGACAGCTTTTTTAAGCTGTGACCTAGCAACAAGGTCATTTCTGCAGAAGGCTGTACGGTTTGGAAAGCTCTCCCCACCTCCACCACTCAGCCAGCACACTCTCAATAAAACATTTTTATTCTGTACATTATATATAGAGATGCCAAAGAAATGGGCGCTATCTCCCAGCATGAGAAATCCAAGACGACACAACAGTGAAGTATGAAAAGCATGGCACCAAGAACAGTTACACCACACAAGGAAGGAAGGAAGGACAGGACAGGGGGGAAAAGTGCTCATCCAGGGAAGAAACAGCACCTTAAGGATGTGTCTGTGCTGGAGGCCATGTCAAGGGCACTGCAGGCAACAGGGAGACGGAGCCCCACCTTGGGCAATGCTTACACTGACAGTAGCACCAGAGGGAAGTTCTTGCTGGTAGTTAGGGCCCTGTCCTCCCTAAAAGCATACATAAGGGCAAAAACACTGCACTGGGACCCAGTCAGCTGTCAGGGCTGAAAGGGAAAAGCACCCTGCTTTAATGAATCTGAGCCAATAAAGCAGCCACATCCATATGTGAAGGGGAAGGAGAGGAGCCCTCTAGTCCCATCTGGAAGCAGGCAAGTTTGTGCGTCCAAGAGTCAGTTCCCTGCCCCTCCCAAGGGAATGGGCAGCACCTGCTCTGTGTTAGTAACAGGCCTGCCCAAGCCGGGAGGATTCAATCACTACAGCGGATTGGGAAGGAAGGCACTTCCCCTTAACCCTTCTTGGTAGAACAAACCACCCATCTTCCTCCCCTCCCCCCCTTCAAAACTGCCAGCCACTTTTGCAGGCTGCAGGCAGAGCTCCCCACCTCCAGAGGACACACAGCTACAAGGGCAGAGCTGGTGGTGAGGAAGCTGATCTAGAGCAGCTCACTGGAGTGGTAAGCTCAGCCATTCAGTCTTACCTCCACAGACTGTGGCGGCAGCCCCAGCAAGAAAACCCAGAGCAGGAGGCAGCAGAGGCATCTGCCCCCAGGTTGTTTGAGGGGCACTTGCCTGAGAGCATCTGATCTGCATCACAGGGAGCAAAACACTAGCTCCCTTCTTTCTCCTTAACACCACCTGCAGACGCTACCCAGCCCAGCTGTCCATGTCTCCTTACACAGCATGCTAGCTTCAGGCAGTGCTCCAGCCAACCAGCCTGGCTGAAGTCACCAAGAAAATCAGGAGCCTTATGTATAGCAATATAGCCTCCACTGCACTCTCCAGGCTGCCCCTCACCAGTACTCAGCACTTGTTACCTGAAGGACACAAGTGGGGAAGTACATAGCCAGAGTGGAGGGGGACAGGATCATGCTGGTCTCTACCTGCTTCAGTGATTACAGGCTCACACTAGCTCCCCTCTGACACCGAGTCTCCATGGCAGACACAAGGAAGTTCCCTCTACTTGGCCAAGAAGGAGAGCAAAAGTATCACTGCAGCAGTTGCTGTCAAAATTGCATCCAATGGTAGAAGCCACTGTGTGTTGTAACACTAACTGCCCACTAGGCTTCTTAAATATTAAGGCAAGTCCCCAAAGAGCGAGCTAGGCTGGGGCAGAGCCTGACTGCAAAAAATCCACTGCAAATCACTGCTGTTAAACTCCAACAGACACCTGTAGGTATAAGCACAGGCTATGGCTAGCCTCAGTAAGCAGAAGAGACAGGTGTAAAATCTAGCTTCATGCTGCCTTTAGCAGGCCAACTGCACTGGGCTGTGTGGACCGCCCACATGACAGAAGCAGTAGGCAGAAGTCACCCCACCAGGTGAGGGCTAGTCCAGGAAGGTGTTTCCCCCAAGTTGACACACACAGGAAGAGACGAAACTCTAAGCAGGAGTCCTGAAAACTCAGCACAGAAGGGAATGAGGACTGGCTTAAAACCAGCCAAAAATCAAAGGGTTAAAAAGTGTCCTGAAAGCAATTTGAGAGGCGTTCCTTTTGTTCGTGAGTCCATGTGTAACCCAGCCCCTGCTGTAGGTGGCAAGGCTTGCTCCTGCCCCTACCCAAAGGTCTATGCCCCATAGGGAAAACAGTACAACAAGGCGCAATGCTTGGAAAGCCAGAATGGGGCTGATCTTTCTGCATGGCAGGGGCAGATTCCCTTCACTGCCAGTCATTCACTTCAGGGGCTTTGCTTTGCATAAGCCAGTAACTTTCCAAACGAGACAAAGCCAGGACTCGCCTGCCCAGGTCTGCCGCTGGTCTATTTTCAGAGAGGGCAGGTTAACGAAAACAGCAGGCGATGCAAAGACATGCTTCATTTGTCCCACGAAGGGCACTGAATGCAAGAAAATCTCCTGGGCTCCATCTTGCAACGCGGAGGAGAGAAACCCATGCTAGAACTGGGTAGCAGCAGCTCCTGGCAGCACCTGAAGAGCTGGGGGAGCTCCCATCAGTCTCCCCAATCGTTGGTGTCTGGAGAGTGCTCCCACTGAATGGTAGTCAGAAGCTCAGCCCTCCTGTCCCCAGGGTTTCCTCTAAGCTGTTCTCTTTGGTGGTGATGCCTTGAAGGTCGGTGACATGCCCAATGCCTTTGGTGACTCCTTCCCGGAAGAGCAGCTTGGCTCCGATTTTCAAGTACTCAGGGTGTTTGATAAACCTGAAACAAACGACAGCCTTCTCCCCTGTTCGAAGCTTGTCCTGAGGGGGAGAGAGGGCAATCAGTCACCACAATACAAACAGGAGTATGACCTTTACCCCTGCATTGACGGGCACTGGGAAACAGGGATGGTTACAAGATCCCTCCTTTCCCCAGTCACCCACCATTTACACTGCCGCAGCCCAAGTCCCTCCCACTGTAAGGGGAACCTGGGACAAAAATTGATTCTCTTCAAGTGAGGATTGGAGTAGGGGTTACTCCCCTATCCTGTCCTGCTGATGCTTTCCCCAGTGATTCCAGCAGACCATCTGCAAAGTGAAGAGGCAGCTTCTCAGGAGAGGAAAGGAGGAATCTGACCAAGTCCACTGGCTTTAGCAGGGATAAGCAGTGAGTTCAAATCTATGATTGTGATAGCCAGCACATCCTAACCCACTTCTCTTTCTGCCTGAAGGTCCTAACAACACTAAGGAATCCTGGCAACACCTACTCCCTAGTTGGGAGCTCACCTTCCCATGAATCTTCTCCACAATGGCAGTCTGCCGCACATTCCCCACATGCACAGTCACCTGGAATCCTTTCCTGAAAGTTGTGGCGTGGAAAAGCAGTACGATCTCAGCTTCAAAGACTGAGCAGATGGTGGGGTTCATCTCTGGGCTCACCATCACCATGCCCTGCATGACAGCCCCAAACCCAAAACTCAGGTTACCAGAGAACAGCCCCTTCTTGCTCTGAATCCCATGGCCTTTAACTTGCCATAATCTCTTCCTTGCTTTGGGGCTCAGCCCCAACCCAGCCCCTGAAAATCTACAAAGATGCATGGATGCATGCCAAAGCCTGGAGGCCTGCTGTCACAACCACTTGAAACAGATTTTAGGGTGGTGGTTGTAGGCTTGGAGTTGGGGTGAATGTTTCTCATGTGTATCCCAAGTCCCTTCCCAGCAAGTAGGAGGGCTCTGAGAAAGAGTAATAACCTCCAACCTTGCCTGCTTAAGGTCTTGGTCGCTGACCCCATCATTCCTTGACCACTGAGGAGCTGAGTGGCAGCTCCTAGAGCAGGAGTTTTCAACCTTTTTTAATAGTTTCATAGTTGGTAGGGCTGGAAGGGACCTAAGCAGATCATCTAGTCTGACCCCCTGCCATGGACAGGAGAGAATGCTGGGGTCAAATGACTCCAGCTAGGTGGCTGTCTAGCCTCCTTTTGAAGACCCCCAGGGTAGGGGCAAGCACTACTTCCCTTGGAAGTTGGTTCCAGCTGCTAGCTGCCCTGACAGTGAAGTAGTACCTCCTGATATCTAGCCTGAATCTACTCTCAGTCAACTTACGGCTATTGTTCTTTGTTACCCCCAGTAGTGCTCAGGGGAACAGGGACTCTCCCATTGCCTGCTGGTCTCCCTTGGCAAGTTTACAGGCAGCCACCAGATCCCCTCTCAGCCTTCTCTTGTGGAGGCTGCACAGGTTCAGGTCCCATAGCCTCTCCTCATAGGGCCTACCCTGCTGCCCCCTGATCATGCAAGTGGCCCTCCTCTGAACCCTCTTGATGCTGTCCACATCCCTCCTGAAGTGCGGCACCCAGAACTGGATGCAGTACTCCAGCTCCAATAAGTGTACCCCTGGCGGCTGGACGTGGAGCAGTGGAGAAGGAGAGGCTCATGACCAGATACAGAGTGGCAGCAGTGCAGAGGGGTGGGTGGTGGCAGTGGCCACTACATGTGAGCTTCCCCCCACCCTCCCATGTCTGGCCAGGTGGGCGGTGCCTGCAAAGGGGCGCCACTACCCTTGCTCTCCCCCTCCCCTTTTGCTCCTGGGAGGCAGTGGCGCAGGGTGGTGGGTGGAAGCATACCCCTGGTTGACAACCCCTGTCCTAGAGGATGGGAACAAGACTCACCTTGCGTAGCAGGGACCGGTCAAAGGACCCAAGGGCCAAGGTAGCAGCCTGTCCTGCCCGGAGCACGCGACATGCTGAACGGTTCCGCTGGATGCTACACACCTTCAGCTGAAGGAACTTGCCATCATCAGTAGGGCCAACCACCAGGTTCTCCCCCTCTCTGCAGATCCCACTGCAGAGGGCATAAGAGCAGGGCACATTTTAACCGTTTCACACAAGGAAAGTGACATTCAGTGAAGTCAATCCACAGCCTCTTCAAATCCCACTACAAGGCAGTTTGCTTGGGCTCTTGGTCCAGGGTCTGCCCAAGTAATCAACGCTGGCAACGTGGGAGTCAGAATTCCTCAAAGCAATCAATGCCACCCCCTGTTCCTCTGTGGCAGGTATGCTGATGCTCAGATTCCAAGGGTCTGGTCCTGAGATACAGGCACCCCAGTCTGCACCTCCTCCTTGCGCTCTCTGTTGCTTCCACTGGAATGCAGAGAATTTAGCACCAACTGTGGATCAGTTTATCTAGGATCCTTGAGAGATGGACCAGCAGACCCAATCTTGATCAGGAGACCAACAGTAAGAACATTCCCCTTGGTTTGTGCAGAGGCAACACACAGCAAACACTGCTCTCATCAGGGGTAGGGTTATGGGTCCTGCTGCTCTTCTCCAAGCTACCCTACTACCCAAGGCAGGACTTTGGAGTCCAATGAAAGTGCTACCTCAGGAGGCCAACCAAACACCAGCCACTGCCCTGAGGGCAGAGCAGCTTCCACGCTGGATCTTTTGTGCTCTGGCCACTCACCAATCATCTCTTCCAGTTTCCTTCATGCAAGGTGGTCTCCTCATGCCCGCAGGTGCAGCTAGCTGCTCAGGATTCTCACCAGTGCCTGTCTCCTAGAACAATACTTGCTCCTAAGCTCATCCCTACACTGCTCCCCATCTCACCCAGCGAAGGGTATTAAGGCAGCTTGACCTACACTGTCCTGGCAGTGCAGGATGGATTAAATCCCCTGCAAGATCAGTACTGGTCATACCACATCACCCTCACCATGCCCAAAGCCTGGCCCTGTGTGTTGGTTTTTTTTATACGAAGAGCAGCACTCACCTTGACAGTGTTCCTCCCACGACAGTCCCCACCTCAGGCACTGTGTAGATCTCATCCACCTACAGTAACAAGATCAAGCTCCTTAGTCACTGGGCAACGGGGAAAGCAACCACAGTCATCCACCTACCACAGGCTGCAGGAAGGCTCCTTTCTTCAGGGTACCAAAGCATGCATCAGAGATTTCATCAACCCCCACACCTCCCCATTTTAAAGCACCCCAGACTTAAGAAGTGGACACAAAAGCTGACTTTAGTCAGATATGGTCAATGCATCTCCTCACTGGAGTTAAGCTGGGGACCCAACTGTCTCATAGACTTGTAGCATGAGTACAAGCTGGGTCTCTGTTTTCAGCTCCCTTGTTACTTGTCCAGCAGCTAAGAACTTTTGCTACCCCAGGTCCAGGGGACCCTCTGCCTGGCTTGAGCCACCACGGTGGTAAGCACAGTGTAATAACCTGAAGGGAACACTCTTACATACCTGGAACTCTGTGAGCTGTTGCATCAACTCCTCCTGCTCTTTGCTGTTGGTCAGAGGAGGAAGGATGTTGAGGAAAACTTTCAAGAGATCCAGGTTCTCCCCAGAAACGCTGGACAGAGTGAAGATGGGGGTGATGCTGCCAAACAGACAGAGAGGAATGAGCTAGGGGTGCAACGCAGCTGCAGAACCCACCCTGGGGAACTGTACTGTAAATAACTAACCCCACCCAGGGGAGGGAACGTGGGCTAGCAGTGATCTCCCCTACCCACAAAAGATTCAAGCCAGCCCATCTGCACCCAGTCAATTCAAGTTTCCTCATAGGAACATTGTTTCCTAGATAGTACAGGAATACATTCATCCCACTATCGGTCATTGGCTCTTGCTGTGTGTGTCCAGAACAGGCCTCAGGGAAGGAACGTGAATGAGGATAATGACACAAAAACTAGGGAGGGGACAGGTGGATAATTTAAGAGGTATTTATTTCAGCTAATGCCTCCTAAAAAGGTGGTCTCCTCTTGCATCTTTGTGGAGCGAGGAATACCCCAACGAGTCCAGACTAAGCTGACTGACCACAACCCTTGCAAGAAAGGATGAAGGTCCCTTACTTGGGAGACTGTGCAAACTGCTGTGCTGCTGTAACAGCATCGTCGTCCGAGTTCACCAACAAGGGGAGCTTGTTGCAGCCCGGCTGCTTCAGGATGCGCTCCAGCTGCTTCACAGTCCGTTCCACAGTGGATTTTGAACACAAGTCCACTTTACTGATGACGATGAAGAAAGGTACCTTGAGGGCCATGGCCAGGCCCAGGTGCTCTCGCGTTGTACCTGCTACAAGAGATCAGTGAGAGCTCAGCTAAAAGTAACAGGAACCAAAATCACTTGCTTGCAGGATGCCTTTGTCTCCCAGGCCAGAAAGCTCACCAGGGGTGAAAATGGAACCTACAATTTACCCAATCTGCTCAGCTTCTGGGTAATGGGAAGAGGGCAGGATTTTTTTAAGCATCACCCTAAACAGAAAGACAGGGCCTCTCCCTAGGAACCCCGAGTGTTTCTTCCAGAGCCAAGGATTAGTCAGAAAACAGCCATCCAGATGGCACAGGGCAAGATGGGGGCACTAGGAGGATTTCAGGCAGGCTGGGACATACTTACCAATGCCAGTGTTGGCACTCACCACCAGCATAGCAAAGTCCGGGCAGTAGCTGGTGAGGCCAAAGATGGTGGTTTTCAGGTACTTGTGGTGGCCAGCCAGGTCAATGAAGGTGATCATCTTGGAGGAACTCTCACAGATTTCTTCTGCGGTTCGTGAGTCACTGTAGTTCACTACCTAGTGAGGAAGAGAAACCAGAGGCTGAGGAAGGGGCATGGAAAAGACAAAGGAGCTGCCAACCCCAACTCCACCTAAGCAGAAACAAGTGCCAGAGAGAACTTGAGGGTTGGCACTTGGAAAGAGACCAGGCCCAACAGACCTCAGCCTGCTATGGCTGCACTATAAGGTCAACCTCAGAGCTGCTCTTCTGGAGGCAGAGGCAGGATACTAGAAAGTATGTCTGTTCCACCTGGACAAGCAGCACCTCAGCTGCATCATTCCTAACCCCTACTGCATCAACAGGGCATGCAGGACTAGACATCTGTTCCTTTCCTTATCACCAGTGGATCAGCCACAGTCCCTTCAGGTGCAGCGGCCAGAAGCAACAAGCCAGGAGACCCATGCTCCCCCACTCTCTGCTGTAACTGATCTGGTCCCTTTCTCCTCACTGCCACCCTTACCTCTCCTTTGCTGTTGAAGCCCAGGATCTCAAAGCTGATGCTGGATGTTCTTCCTGACTGAATTTCATGGAGATGCCGGAAGAGGTTGAGGCGAGCTCTGCCCCGCCCATTATCCAGCTCACCCTGCGTGAGGACACCCAGCAGGGTTGACTTCCCTGAGTCCACATTCCCCAACACAGCCACTCGCAGGTCTAGGAACTAAAGGAACGAGACTGAGAAAAATCACACGGGAACCTGTCCCCTTTGGACAGGGACTCCACTCATATAGACAGGTGGCATGTGCTCACCAGATGTCAGCAGAGGCATGCCCTACAAGCTCCCTGAAGGGTAGCCAAGAGGGATTGTATGCACAGCAATCTCTGGCTGCTGCTTTAGATTTGATCCCTAGCCCATGGTCTCATGGGACAGAGTTTGTCACAGCACACTCTGCTGTGATGACACATATTGGCCTACGACATCACAAAAGGAAGTTCACGTACATGCTTGGTGTGACAGACATTCGTTGCCATGGCCTGATCTCCAAAAGGCCCACTGACATGGAGGTGCAAGTCTTCATCATCTCACTCCCTGACCCAGCCAACCCCCACTACTTGGAGTGGGTTCTAACTGATCCCCTCCAGATGAAGGAGGGTCTCATGATCCCACTCTGGCAGCTCACTAAAGTGTGCTCTACGAACTATTCTAGTGGGAGGTGCCTCCAGGGGAAAGATTCCTATCTCTTCCCAACAGAAAATCTCTTAAACAGAGCCTGGCAGTTTCCATTACCAGAGGGTCTCCAAGCCAGGGAGAACAGTCCAGTCAAGGGGCCCCATACCTGCTGGTTATCAGGAACCTTCCGGACAAGGACCTCTGTTATCTTCCTGGGAATGTCGCTGTCATAATCTACCTCACGCTCCCGCAGGACGGTGATGTCAGCGCCGACCCTGCAAAGGGGGCAGGAGGGAACTGGTCACTGCAAGATTGGCCCTTCAGGGAATCACCTTCCCAGGGAACCACACGGGAATTCAGAGCAAAACTCAACCTGCCAGGGAGATTAACAACTGTGAGCAACAGAAACCTGTGCAGAAACCTAACACTGTCAGCCATAGCGCTCTCTAGCAGCAAAGACCACAGGCCCTCATCTGGGGTCCTCTCTGGTTATGAAGGACATTGACTAGGGGGAATTTCCTTGATTGGTAAGCTTTGTGGAGGTGGCAGGACAGCCACCAGATCTGCAAGGGCTCTAGTGGTGCTGGGGGCAGAGCTGGGTTTTCCTAAGCTGGAGAACATCTGAACCACTCGGCTACAGGGAAGGTAGAGCTCCTGAGGCTTACTTTTCAGCCATGCGGCGCAGAGTCTTGAGGGAAGCACGCATCTCCTCCTCTGACAGGCCCACCAGCAGCCCATTGTCCTCCACACCAATCTGATATACAGCCTCGCCCCGGCCTTCCTGCAGCCGCCACTTCATCTGTGTCACTAGGTGCTCAAAGCGATACTGTGAGGGGTTCACCAGCTTCAGCTGCTTGAGGGAAAGAGCAGTTATGATCATGGCCTGCACTGGAAGGGATCCCACCTCCCAGAGAAAACAACTCCCTAATCCTCCACTGTGAAACAACAGCCCCTCCTGCAGACTTGCCCCTAGGAAACACACTCCAAACTAGTGCCTGAAGAGCCAGGGGTAAAGGAAAAATGGGATTACAGATAGCTGCATATTTCAAGAACAGAATGTTTCAAGCACCTTGCAGACTGCAGCTGTGGACTAGAATAGAGAATTGGCACCCTAGGGCCAGCATGGCCTCTACCACATTTGTAATGGCTTCAATAGCTGAGAATGGTGGGACACCTCTGCGGTGTGGTTGGAAGAGCCATAACTGGCATCAGTAGCTCTGTCTCTCTAAGGAGGGAATATGGCTGAAACAGCTCTCAGAAGAAGCAAAGTGCACACTGATCACTTGACTGCTCCAGTCATGTGAGGGCCCATACACAGCATAGCTCTAAGGGACTTTGTACTGCATGAAATCTAGGATTCAGTCTATTCTACATCAACCCATACCACTGAATTCAGAGGGTCCAAAGCTACGTAGATAGTGTAGTCTACTTGTCTTCTTGCACCTCCTCCCCAGGGCAGGTTTCCTGGGGTGTACCAGGACACGTCCCTTACATACTGCCTTTATTCATTTAATCTCCTATGAGCCCCAGATTAGGGAGTATCCTCTCTGCAACCCCCAAAGGACTCACCTTGTACTCAATGTTCCCATCTTCTGCCTGGTAAAGAACAAAAAAAGATTTGTGGGTTAATAACCTTCTGTGCCACCAAGGCACCTTCTGCAGATACTTTTCCCCACCCACCGGGCTGCCCTCACACCATGAGCCTGCGCACTGATGCAGATGGCCTGGGGGGGAAGTATAATCAGCAGTCAAGCAGCATTAGGGCTCTTCCTGTTACTTCAGAAAGGAACCATACAACATTCAGCACCCACAGTACGTTGTAGCCTCTTTGGCCAGAGCTGCAGGGCTCACTCGGGTGCTCCCCTGAAACTGCCCAGACATGCTGCCGTTGTCTGTCTGGTAACAATCAGCTGGGATGTTCTCTTGTGAATGCTAGGAATTTAAGTGAGCAGAGTGTAAAGGCATTAGCCAATCTGTCTGGTGACAGCCAAGACCCTTCTGAAAGTAACAAGAGATCACTATCTCCAAAACAGCCCTGCCCTGTAGGAGTGAATGAAGAGGACTCCTTCTCCACGGCACAGTCAGTTCCTGGTGTCACTGCTGAGGTGACAAGTGGTAGAGCAGGTGACTTTCTATAAAACAGACAGAAATCCTCTCCCTACTCCATTTTATTTTACAAAGGCCATTACATTACTGACAGGTATAACTTATATTTGCAGTTTGGCTAGACCTATTCAGGATCTGGTGATCTGGGGTAAAAGGTGCCATATCTCCCCTCCCCAATGCCACACTATCCAGTGCCTCCTCCCCTAGATCTGCACAAGAAGAACTGGTGATCTGGGACAGACACTCAGCCTCCCCCTTTTCCCTCCCCCACTCCAACACTGAGCCACGGCGGTTCCCGTCCTTCCCACCTGCCTTGTACTGTTCTAACACCTGCTCCCAAGAATCACTCCAGCAGTGAACTGGCCTGCCAGAGACCATCAGCTCCTTGAGAGCAGTTCCTCCCATTTCCACTAAGTGCTTCTCTAACTAAATGAGGCACTAACATTTCTGGCTAGCCTGTAGGGCGGGGAGCAAGGTTCCACACAGCCATCAGGAAGCAAGCACTATTGATCCGCTTGTGATGAAACAAACTACTAACAGCTCCAGAGAAACAGACTGGAGTGGGAGCTCCTGTAGGTGCACAACTCAGAGGGGCTTCCCCAGGAGGGACTGCTGCCAAATCAGATTGCTGTAGCCAGAAATAGAAAAAAGAGCCACTAACTCATCAAGTCCACCCCAACCCCAGAAAGAAGGTGTGTCCGATATCAAATTCCATCTCCTACTGATCACCACCCAAGGGCAAAAGAAACAAGGCTGGTTCCTGTAGGGAGACAGAATCTCTGGAGATGAGGCAGTAAATCACTGATAGCAGTGCAGAGACTGACCCACGTGGATGTTTTTTGTGGTTTTGGAGGCAAGTTGCAGCACTGCTTTGTCGTCCTTCTCGAGAGATCATCTCTTTTCTTAGGGCACGGCTTCTTTGTCAGGGCAAGGCGCAGCCCTGCTCCCTGGCAGGTCTCCCTGCATTTTAGCTCAACTCCTAACCACACTGGTGGCTGCTGATGGCAGAGGGCAAAAGTAACTGGGGCCTGGGATTGACAACTCTAGTTTTACAGGTGAAACTGCTCATAGAGGGAAAGGCATCAGTGTAAGGCTCCTATTTTTTTTACCCATTTAGTCACCTGCCTTACAACTGTGGGGAAGGCATAGTCTCCCAACACGGTACTGGTAGCTGTGCTGTCCTAAGCAAGGGGTGTGTCTCGTCTCCGAGCAGCTTATACAAACTAAAGCAAAAAGTACAGACTTGCCCGGCAATGGAGCATGAAGTTCTGCAGAGGAAAGGAAGCGATACCGAAACCTCCAGGGACTGGCTGTGCTATCCACTGACAGGTACAACCACCAAGGTGCCACAAAAGACAATGCTGTCCCTGGGAACAGACTATGGAGGTCCTAACTGAAGCTATAGGAAGCTACACCTTTTGATCCCCAAGCTCGAGAGCAAGGGCTCTGCCTTGCACAAAAATAGGTGCCCTCACCACCATTCTGGATTCTGGGATTTTACACCTTCCTCAAGAGACAGCAGCAGTGCCGCCAGCCTGGCAATCTCTGTGCTTCAAGAACAGGGGTTTCAGCCCCATGCCCTGGGGAACCATCTGCACTTAAGAGACTACAGTGTCCCCTTTCCAGGCCAAGCCCATGCAATGGGATGCCTCCTCTCTTGCTCTCCAGGTCTGGGTGGGGACCCTCTGCATGCTGGCTCCCCTAAATCAGCAAATATAGAGGGAATCCCATTAGACCAGAGGGGGTGGAGCCACCGAGCCAGGAATGTGGGCCTAGGAGCTAGGGGTCTGTTCCCACGCAATCTGGCAGATGAGATATCCACAAGGGATGGGAACAGGGCATTGAGGGTTGCATAAGGAACAACACTCATCCTTATGCAACCCAGTAACTATGAGGCTATAAGGTTTTCCCACCTGCTGGCAGGAGGCCAAGCACTGCTGTGCTGATGCCTGCACACTCCCGGCAGGGCATCTTTGGGTCAGGCAAGTCAAGGAGCAGTGCCATCTCAGACCCCAAGGGGCCAAGCCACAATTCATGCAGCATGGAACTGCATCTTAAACATAGATTCATAGATTAAGGGTCGGAAGGGACCTAGTAGATCTTCTAGCCCGACCCCCCGCCAGGGCGGGAGAACAACAAAAAACCCCAAAAAGAGAAATGGGACTCAAATGAGTCCAGCCAGGTAGGCATCCAGCCTCTTCTTAAAGACCCCCAGGGTAGGGGCCAGCACCACTTCCCTTGGAAGTTGGTTCCAGCTCCTAGCCGCCCTAACTGTGAAGTAGTTTTTGCGGATGTCCAATCTATACCTCCTCTCCATCAACTTGTGCCCATTGCTTCTTGTTATGCCAGCGGGCGCTAGGGGAAACAGCCACAATCGTGGCAACTGAGTCAAGTTGCAGGGACTGTTTCCAGCCTGGTTAATCAAGAAAACCATCCACCTCAGTCCTCCATGCACCCAGGACTGGAGCCGAGGGGCGAGGCTACAAGAGACAGAGGTCATGGGCACGGCGGGGCAGACTCTTTCTCTGCAGAGATCTACTGCTTAGGCGGCCACCTCTCAGCCAAGGCGAACCCTTCCCTGTGTGTCCTGCCCCAGCTCAGAGATAACGTGTCTGCCACCTCATCACATGTCCTGCATTGCTGCCAGGGCCCCCTGCTCCCTCTGCTTGCCCACTGCTCTCAGGGCACTGCCCACAATCAGCCAGGGGGGACGCCACCTCCACGAGGCTGCAAAAGACCTATGTGCACATGTACATGCACATGTGCACAGGTGCAGACACATGCACACATGTAGGCATACATGCATGTACACACAGCAGTGCCTGTACACACACACAACCCTGTGCCCACAGAAAGGTGTGCACGCCTGTACCTGTGCATGTCTGTACGTGCAGGTACACCTGGAAGGACACACACATGTACACACAGGCACACACATACAAGTGTGCACACACAGTAGTGCACCTACATGTGTATGTGCACAAAGAAGTACACGCACATGCCCTCATACACACAGAAGCGTGCACATGTGTACGCACACACACAAAAGTGCATGCACATATGTATGTACACGCAAACACAAACAAGCACACAGCTCCAGGCGTGTACACGTCCACCCAAGGGGCACAAGCATGCAGAAGCGCATGTACACATGCACACGTATGGGCACACACACACGCGTACGCGCGGAGGCACACGCAGGACCAGCCCACACGTACCTCGGGCGGCAGGTAGGGCGGGTTGTTGGCCTTGCCGCCCCGGCCGCGTCCGCCCTTCTTCTTCGCCTTG